CACATTTTTTCATTCAATCTCTTGATATTCTTGATTTTTTTTATTCTCCCAGATGAATTTTTATTACTTTTCCAGCATTATAAAATAATTCTCTTGTAGTCTGATTGATGTGGCACTGAATAAGTAAATTAACTTAGGTAGAATCATTATTTTTACTATATTGGCTCAGCCTATCCATGAGCAATTAATATTTTTCCAGTTGTTTAGATCTGCTTTTATTTGTGTAAAAAATGTTTTGTAACTTTATTCTTATATAGTACCTGGGTTTGTCTTCCTCCTTTATATTCTTTAGTGCTTCAGAGTAAAATAAGTCTTAGAAGCTCATCTCCTAAGATCCTGAAGTGGAAAGGTTATAAAATGTCTTATGTTGTGAGTACTGTGAGTGGTTGTTAAACAATTCAGGGAGTAAAGGGGTGGGGAATGGGAGGGGATGGTGTTCAATTATTTTAATTCCTTATTGAGTATCTATTACCATCTGAACTATGTGAGCTGAGACAAAATAAACTTTAGTTTAAAAATGGTTTGGTGTGCCCTGAAAAATGTTTAAAAATGTCAACTCAAGCACCCTCTCACTGCCATCCATCAGAGGCTTTAAGCTTTGAGTCTTCACTATAGAACATGTAATTTAAGTTATCTCAAATTAATTAACTATGGTCCTTGAAGAACGAAATTTCCTGGTGTTAAAAATATGTCATCAACATATCAAGCATTTGTAATTTTGCCAGTATGAAAAATCCCTCCACAAAAGGCATGTCTACAACTCCTAGTCTTAGAGAGCTTTCTGAGACTTCAGATTAAGTGATGGACCTATGGCCAAGCAGCTAGTTGTCAGTTACTCACAAAGCATTTATTAAGTGTTTACTATGTGCCAGGTATTACGCTAAGTATTGGGAATATAAAGAAATGCAAAACAAAAGAAACAAACAAAACACTCAGTCCTTGCTCTCAAAGAGCTCTTAGTCTAAAAGGGGAGAAAACATACAAATAATTGTGTACAAATAAGCTATATATATAAGATAAATTAGAGATAATTAAAATGGTGACGTTACTAGTACCAAGGGAGATCTAAATAGACTTCCTTCAGAAGTTTGGACTTTAGCTGGGATTTGAAAAAAGCCATGGAGAGAAACAGAATAGAAAGGAGAATATTGAGGCACAAGGACGGACTAATTTATGGGAGGAACAGCAGAGGTGCTGTTCTTGGATCATAGAGTACTTTTGGGGAGTAAAATGTAAGAAGACTGGAAAGGTAGGATGAGGGCATGTTATGAAAGGCTTTGAATAGCAAATGGAAAAATTCAAAGGTTTTAGAGAGCCATTTGACCTTATTGAATAAGGAGTTGATAGTATCAGAACTGTACTGTAGGATCAATCTGATAACTTAGTCGGGGGAGAACTGGAGGGAACTTGAAGCAAGGAGAAGGGTATTGCAACAGTTGAGGTGTAAGGTTATGAGGGCCCGAATCAGAGTGGTGGCAGTGTCAGAGGGAAGAAGGCATACCCAAGAGATGTTATGAAGGTAGACTTGATAGCAGTGGTGGACTAGGAGAAAGAGAAAGAGGTGTGAAGGATGCCACATTGGAAGTATGATGGTGTTCTCAATAATAACAGAAAAATTAGGAACAACGGGCAAGAAAATTAAGGCTTGAGGGAAAGATAATGAGCTTGGTTTTGGACATTGTGAGTTTAAAATGCCTATGGGCTATCTAGTTTGAAATGTCAAATACTCATGTGAAGACTCAAGTCTGGAGGTCAAGAGAGATCTTATGTCTGAAGAAACAGATCTGGGAATCATCAGCATAGAAATGATAATTGAATCCATGGAAACTCACATAATTACTAAGAAAAATAACATGGAAGGAGAAGAAAAAAGTGCCCAGGACACAGCCTTTTATGGTTAGTGAGTGTGACGTAGATGAAGATCTAGCATGAGAGATTTTAGAAAAGTGCTCAGATATCAGGAGAGAGTGTCATGAAAATCTAAAGAGAAGAGAATGTCAAGATGAGGATCATTGACAATTTCAAAGGCTGGATAGTTATCAAGAAGGATGAAGATTGAGAAAAGACCATTAGATTTGACAATTAAGGGGTCACTGGTAATCTTTGAATCCACATCTTCCTGGTTCTTAGTCTACCACTCAATCTATTATATGTCTCTCACTTTAAAAAGTAAGTTAATAAAAGTAGGATTAAAGGATATCACTGGTACTTCCCTAAGAAAGTAAACCACTTATCTTAGAAGCCCCCAGCTTGAGTCCTATCTCTGTGACTTTGGTCAAACCATTTCTATCTATCAGGACCTCACTTCTCATCAGTGTTTTAGCACAGAGAGCTGATTTCAGAGTCAGGAAGACATCAGTTCAAATTCAGCTTCTGACACACAGTGGCTGTATGGTGCTAAGCAAGTTATTTCAACTCTCAGGGCAACTCTTTAAGATTAAATTTTTCGAGCTGGTACTGATGTGTTTGTGTGGGGAAATCTCCTTGTATAATGATGAAATTAGATCAATGTTGTTTTGCTTTTTGATAATAATATATACACTACCTAAACTCACAGTGGGGGTGGGGGGAGGAGGAAAGAGCGTTATAAATCTTAAAGTACAATAGAAATGAAAATTATTGTAATTACTCTTATTTGACTGTTTAGACCATGGAACCAAGTTATTCACACACACACACACACACACACACACACACACACACACACACACACACACACACATACTAACTACAGAGATTCATGAAGGCTTTCTGCTTTGTAATCTGTGGGGACAGAAAGAACACCGAAACCAATAAAATTGGGGCTCATTGAAAACATTTTAAAGACATTCTTATATTTCCTGCCTCAAAGGATGGTTCTGAGAAACATACATTGCAAACTATACAGCAATATAGGAGTCTGATATAGTGCTACTCAGCTCTTCTCATCAATCTGAGGGGGGCTGGGGTGGAATGACTAGAGCACTGTACTTGGTAAGAGTCAGCAAGGCTCAGATTTGAATTCTAGTTCAGACTTTCATTCCTTGTGTGAACTTGATCAAATCCCTTAACTTCTCTGGCTCTCAGATTCCTCAGTTGAAAAAGGAGGGGGTTGGACTTGACTTTTACATCCTTTTTCAGCTCTAAATCTCTAATGCTATGTATAAGGAAGAAGAGGGAGTTCACAATAAATTTCCTCACATGCAAAATAGGCTTAAAAATGCTTACACTACTGAACCTCACAGAGTGTTTGGGAGGAAAGAGTAACCTTACAGCACTATAGTTACATGAGATTTTATTATTTGTCAGAATCCCATTCCTAGTGTGAACTGGCCTTATTTGGAGTTTTCCTTGATTCACTACTCGGACTCAAGAGACCAGGCAAATACTCAGTTCGATTTATTTGGTAATCAGTCTTTTGGAAAATATCAACCCTTCCCCAGTCCCGGTCCTTTCCTTCCCACCCCGCCCCCCTAAAAAAAGCAGATGTTCTCCAGTTAAGCCTTCCCTGTGATTTTAATACTCTCTGTGTCACCAATGCTACCATCAGGACTCCTCTTTCAATAAGATGCTGATTGGTTGAATATGGCTTCCAGTAACTCAGCCTTTGTTTTGTAAAAACATTATTACAACATTGTATAACACTTTAGAAATGTTTCAAATTTAGGCTGGCGTGGTGACTTAGCAGACTAGGGGGCTAGCATATGGAGTCTGCTACACTCAAGAGACTGTGGTTTCATTGCTGGCACCCACCAGTCAAGTCAGGATTAGCAACCAGGGTATTTTCAGCAAGAGCTGAGTTTGCAGAACCATCAGGTACTGTTTCCTGGTTTAGACCAGGAGAAGAACTGCTGGCCCACAGAGACCAGTATGACAGTGGCACAGAAATTGAATGCAGACATTCTTCAGCCCAAAGAGTATCTGATTTGGGATGTATTCACTTGTGTTGCTTTGCCCAGTTCGAGCTGGTTGTGGGGCTGGGGTGAGAATGGAGGAGGGAGGTTCAAGGGGTGGAATAACAGAAAGGGCACTAGTCTGGGAATCATGAAAATTGGGTTCAACACCTGCCTGTCATTGATTAGTCATGTGAGCTTAGGCATGTCACTTTTCTCCAAGCCTCCATTTTCCTCATCTCTAAAATGAAAGATTTGAATAGATTGTCTTTAAGGACACTTCAAGCTCAGACATTTTGTTTTATTAGAGATCTGTCCTAGCTTGGTATTCTGTTAATTTATATGATTCAGTGGTCCATTCTAATTTTAACTTTTTTTTATTTCAGGGATCATGATTTCATCAGTGGAGGTACATCCCGTCTGGGAATAGGGCACTTCCCCTCCTTCTTTCTATACTAGAGGGTCTCTGACATACGATTTGCCATCCCCTTCCTAAAGTCACTACCTTGTGAAAAACTTTTATGTGACAAGATTATCTGAACTATTTTAAATTGTTCTTTGGACGACAAATGTGCATTCAATCACCAGGTCCATACCCAAAAGCTAGCCAATTTGGGAGTACCTATAATAACCAGCAATCCACTGGTCTAGCATTCAAGAACGCACGGTTTCCTCTATTATGGGATGACACATAAGAGTGGAAAGTGAAGGTTCTGGTATTCTATGGGTCCATAAATTAGACAGTTCCACCAGGGCTTCATGGTACAGTAGAAAGAGCCCAGGACAGAGTCAGAGGGCTTGGATTGAAATGCTTGCTCTTCTACTTGCTATTTACACGACTTTAAGCCAATCACTGAGCTTCAATTCCCTCATCTATAAAATGAGAAGTTCAGACTTGACCCCCTAAGTTCCCTTCCAGCTCTCTATCCAACTGTGAGCCAGAACAAGGGGTGTGGAAGGAAGGAGACAAACATTAAGCTCCTGCTGTATGCCAGGCACTGTCCTAAGCACTTCACAAATATAATCTAATTTGATTCTCATAGCTCTGGGAGGTTGGTGCTATTATTGTCCTCATTTTACAGTCAAGAAAATAGAGACAGAGGTTAAGTGACTTGTCCAGGGTCATACCTTGTAATTATCTTAGGTTGTATTTGAGTTCAGGTCTTTCTGATTCCAGTCCCAGTGCTCTATTTAATCTGCGACCTAGCTGCCTACTAAAGTGTTCTCCCAGTTGGTGTATTGTGGTGCCATGAAGTGTGCTACACCTAGCAAAACAAAAAGGTGGGTTGAAATAGCACTGGAGGAGAGAAATGGCTGGCCAGGAGAAGCAGGGAGCTCTTCTATAGAGTTTCTTTTCCAGTAGCGACTCATTCCCCTATCTCTCTGAAAGTGGCCGTGATCCAATTTATGAGAGTCTGCAGTCCGTAGCTTCTCGTATTTCTGTAAACATGAAAAGTGAAAATTTACTTATATGAGAGTGACTAAACACCATAAAATTCACAGAGAATTTTTCTCTCCAGAACTTTATGAGCTAGGCTCTGATAGTATTATTATCCCATTTTATACATGGGGAAACTGAGGTTCAAAGATGCTAGCCACATTACCCAAAGTCACACATCTAATTGGTGGCCAAACCAATATTTTAATTCAGTTTTTCTGACCCTGAGTACAGTGATCCATCTACGAAAAAAGAGAGAACAATCAGCATGTTATATCATGGATAAAAAATCAGGAGATGTAGGTTTGAGGTTTATCCATAACACTAATTTGTTGTACAACCTTGGCCCAGTCACTTTCCCTTCCAAGATTTAATTTCTTCATTTCTCAGATGAAGAAATTCAAATAGATGATCTCTAAGTTCAACCTCCACTTCTGAAAATGTCAATTCTTTCTACTCCTGACATTTTATACATCCATAATAGCGCTAATAATATTTTTAAAAATCACAAGTGAACCAAGCAACTGATGCAGTCACTTAATATTTGGACCTCACTCCAAACACACTGGCCTCTTATAGAATAGCTCAGATCATACCAGCAACAGTTTAGTATCCAGAAAGGAGGGTCTTGGGAAAGGAGGAGCTAATGTTCAGGGTGACCATACTGCCATACCTAAGGTACGGTTTTCATTAAGAGAGAAATGTGTGGGTCGGGAGGGAAGGGGGATTACATTAAGAAAGTGATACTGTTCATGTCCTTTGTTTACTGGAAGAAGGGCAAACGGGCACAATTGGAGTAAGAGGAAAATGACTTGGGGGAGGAGATGGGGGGACGCAGAGGGGGTTGGGGACATACTTGAAGTTGAAGGAGGGAAAAAAAAATCATGGCAGTTAAAGCCAATAAAGTCCTTTATTTGAATGCCATTAGTGGGTTTGGCAGGCATGTTTGCCATCTACTTCAGAGGACCACTGCACAGATTAAGAGAGGCTAGATGCTAATTTGCACATATGGAAATGCTTTTTCTCTCCGTTCTGATGGCTCTGTTGTGGACAGATGGAATTAGCAAGAACTCCGAAGCCGTGAAGGCAAACACATTAAAAAAAAAAAAAGAAAGAAAAAGAAAAAAAAGAAAAAAAACTTTCTTTTTTTCCTTTCTCTTTCTCCCCTGTCTTTCTTTTTCTATTTCTTACTTTTCTTTCTTTCCCTTTCTCCCTCTTTCCCTCCTCCTTCCCCTCCTTTCTTACTTCCTGCTCTTTCTTTCAATTGCTTTCTTTTCTATTTTCTTTCTTTCTCTTTTTTCTTTCTCCTTCCTTCTTCTCCCTCCTCTCTCTTTCTCTTCCTTCTTTACTTCCTCCCTCCCTTCCTTCCTTCCTTCCTTCCTTCCTTCCTTCCTTCCTTCCTTCCTTTCTTTTTTTTTCTTTTCCTTCATGAAAAACTTCAGACTGCAATAAAATAAACATATATTATTACCAGAATAGCTTCTGGCATTAATAATGCATTTATCATGTTTCAATTGCAAATCCATTTCTAACAGTGAGTGAGACACTCAGAGCAGGATTCAGGATGCCAGAAAATGTTGGCAAATTGAGGCCCATCTTTAGGCAGATTTGGCCTTATTTACTGCATCTAGATCTATCTATGTTTCAGACTGTTTGCTTCATAAAAGCACCTTCCCTGACAGTCATCAGAAACTCTGAATCCTGACTGCAGCTTTGTGGCCTCACGTGGGTTGTACTCCCAACACTTCCACTGTTAGAACTTAGAGGGGTGGAAAAGCACAAGCAATCCCACTGGATTTACCTTTTCACCCCTGAAGCAAGCCCAGCTAGTCTGAAGAGTACTTTTTCTGTTGCCTTTCCCTCACTGTCTTTTATGGGGAGATTCTGTAATATTTTATTTATTGGCAGACTAACGAGGTTTAGAATACTTTGAGAGCTGGTCCCGTCCAGAGGCCTGCCTGGCTGAGACACCTGTCTGGGTAATTGGTGTTCCATATCAGATTATTTAGAAGGAGAAAATCAGCCCAACAGAGGCGAATGAGTCCTACATGTGGAGTCACAGGATTTAAATCCTAGAGAGATAACCTCATCAACCCCTTCATTCTCCAGAGAGAGAGGCAGATTCTCAGAGAGATTAGGTGCCTTGTTTGAGGTCCTATAGGCAGTGGGAATTCAAACCCAGCTCCCCTAACTCCAGATCTCTTACTTGTTTTACTGCACCAGAGAATCAATTGAAGTGGAATAAGACTCCTAGCTTTGCCACTCAGTAATTCAGTGTAGGCAAAGTATGAGCTCCCCTTCCATTTCAGTTTCCTCGTCTTTGAAATGGGAATAATAATACCAGCAACACCTGCCTTCCAAGGTTTTGGGGAGGATCAAAAGAGGTATTACACACAATTCATGTTGTCAGCATAAAGCAGGATGTAAGAGCAACTTTATTTCTAGGAAAATATGTTATAGCATCACCCTCATTCTCCAGTGAGAATCACAAGGGTATGTACTTTCTGCTTCCCTTGTCTCAATTGTTAGAGGAAAAAAAAATATTTAAGTAAATCAAAAGAGCCTAATGTCTAACATGTGGATTTTCCTTCAAGGTTCTCTAATATACTTTAACAAATTACTTAGAACATCAATTTTACATTATTTTCATTTCCTAATATATCCTTTACCCTCTCCTATCCAGAGAGTTGTCCCTTATAATAAAAATTAGCCAGAACGTGGACATTCCAGTTACTTTTTAGCACAATTCTGAATTGCTTTCTATAATGGTTAATGGTGCCTATCCTTCTGAAGCTCCTCCAACATTGACTAGTTTTATTTTTTGTCATCTTTGCCATTTTCAGGGTGTAAATTGAAATGTTAGATTTGTTTTGATTTATAGTTACCTTATTGTTGGTGGTTTCAAGTATTCCTTCAAATGTTTATTTGTGCCTTCCAAATTTACTTTTGAGAACTATCTGTTCACATCCTTGACCGCTATATCCTTGGAGGAATGGTCCTTAGTTTGATATATTTGTGTTAATTTCCTACATAACTATTAGATCCCTATCAGAGATATTTGTTGAGATTTCCACCAATCTATGTCTCTCCCTTTTTATTCTACCCGATATCTAAAATTCTTTTAATTGTCCATTTCTTGAAATGTCATCATTCTCCTCCTATTCTCCTCCATTGCCTACATTCTCATTATTTCTGTGATGTGAAAGCCCAATCTATGTGTTGTTAGCTATGATAGTAGCTTTTTTACTATTAAAAAAAATGGTTGGTAAGATTGTTTACGTCAACACTGTCAAGTACAGCTTCCTCCAATCACATTACCATTATACTTGTAATTAAAGAACCTTACTTCCACCCTAGCTCTGTAACTTACCAGCCACATAATCTTGGTTAAGTCATATTATATAATTGCTTTGGGACTCAGTTTCCTTATCTGTAAAATTTATGGATCTATAGGTCCTTTCCTCCCAGTTCTAAATTCTATGAGGCAATTCACTTTTTAAACAACAACATAAAATATACATGTTAGCTCTTATTGTTTCTGCTGTCATTGTTATTCTAATTGGGACAGAAGGAAACACTTCAGCAGATATTTTTCAGAGAGGCATTAATTAACTAGCCCTCCAAGACTGGGGAGATGACAGCCCAGTGTTCTTTGCTGCAGTCTTAGACCATAGCTCCGGGATTATGCTGAGCTCTGGGCAATGAGTTCAACTGATAAACCGGAAAGAATTATTCAACAGAGACCCATCAGGATAGTAAAGGGCCTCAAGTTCAGTTCCTATGAGGATCATTTAAAGGAAATTATGTTTAGCCTGGAGAAGACTTGTGAGGCAGGGAGAAGGAGGGAAGAATGATAAGTTTATTTAAGTATATGTTGGACTGTCATGTGGAAGAGGCATTAGAATCATTCTGCTTGGCTAGCTGTGCTGGCCTGTAGTCACTGCTGCTGGGGAAGGGTGAGGTAGGATGGATTGCTTGAGTTCCGGAGTTCTGAATTGCACGGCAAAGGCTGCAGGTGTCTGTAGTCAGTCCAGCACCTCCATGGTGATCCTCCAGGGAGTGAAGAGCCACCAGGATGCCTAAAGAGGGGTGATCTGATTCAGGTTAGAAAAAATGCAGCAGGTCAAAATGTCTGTGCCAATCAGCAGTGAGATTGTGTGAGATAGGGAGATCCAGTCTCCTTCCCCACCCTGCAAAATTATTGTTGGCTCCACGGGGCAGAATTAGAAAGAAGGAGTAGAAGTTATAAAAAAGTTATTTTAGGCTTGGTATAAGGAAAACTTTTCTAACAATTAGAGTTATCCTAAAGTGGAATGGGCTGCCTTTGGAGATAGTGGTTTTCACTGCATTAGAGCAAAAGCTAGATGACTGCTTGTCAGGTGTGCTGTAGAAGGGACTCTTATTTCGGTGAAGATTGAGCCTAATATTCCACAAATCTGTGAAATCTGAATTCAGTGCTCTAACTGCTCCCGGCTACTGCCTGTCTACCAGGATACATCTTCAATAAGTAGAAAAACAAGACTCTTCAGAGAACACTTAATCTATGGATAAGTGCATATGAAATGTTCCCATTGCTCCAGTCCCACTGTCAATACTCCTACTCAAATCTTCAGAGACATAATTAGGAATTCCAGCACCTGGAACTAATTCACTTACTCGTAGGTGGGGAACAATAGAATATATAGTTGTGGTAGACTGAGGCACCGGCCATGGAAGCTAAAGAGGCTGCAGATATGGGAAAGAAGCAGGGGTTGGGGTAGAAAGTCAGGTGCTACATTTAATGGGGAGGAATGAATGACAAGGTATTCCCTAGAATCCAGGTAGAATCTAGGGCCTAAGTGATAGTAACAAGAATGTTGACATGATAAATAGAGTTACATTTAAAAGAGTATTAGTGATTGTTGAGATATTATTTTAATTTTTTAAAATTTTTATTTTTTAGGCAATTGGGGTTAAGTGACTTGCCCAGGGTGACACAGCTAGTAACTGTCAAGTGTTTGGT